GTGGTGGTCTGTGGTCTGTGGTGGTCTTTAGTCTGTGGTCTTTGGTCTGTGGTGGTCTGTAGTCTGTGGTCTTTGGTGGTCTTTAGTCTGTGGTGGTCTTTAGTCCGTGGTGGTCTTTGGTATGTGGTGGTCTTTAGTCTGTGGTCTTTGGTCTGTGGTGGTCTGTAGTCTTTGGTCTGTGGCGGTCTTTAGTCTATGGTGGTCTTTAGTCTGTGGTCTTTGGTCTGTAGTCTGTGGTGGTCTTTAGTCTGTGGTGGTCTTTGGTATGTGGTGGTCTGTAGTCTGTAGTCTGTGGTGGTCTTTGGTCTGTAGTCTGTGGTCTGTAGTCTGTGGTGGTCTTTAGTCTGTGGTCTGTGGTNTGGTCTGTAGTCTGTGGTGGTCTGTATTCTGTGGTGGTTTTTGGTCTTTGGTCTATGGTGGTCTTTAGTCTGTGGTGGTCTTTAGTCTGTGGTGGTCTTTAGTCTGTGGTGGTCTTTGGTCTGTGGTGGTCTTTAGTCTGTGGTGGTCTTTGGTCTGTGGTGGTCTGTAGTCTGTGGTGGTTTTTGGTCTTTGGTGGTCTTTAGTCTGTGGTGGTCTTTGCTTCGGCTGTTTGCTTCCTGACCTGTATAATTTCAGCACAGAGACACAGTCAGACCTTCGGCTGTTAATATTTTCATTTATTGCTTGTTTTAGTTGTGATCACAGAGACGTACAGCATGGAGACCCCCGGGGGTCGATGGGTCGACACAGATGGGTTCAGAGTTAACGAACTTAGTTTTGGCTGGTGGCTCGTTAACGTAGAACTCAAGTTTCAGCACTATCACAGCTACACGTTATTTTATTTAGCTACTTTATCAGCTAAAGTTCTGGATGGAAGACGGTGTTTTTACACAGACAACAAAATGTCAACGGTTGGGAGGACTGAAGCCCCTCGGCTGCGTTTGGGCTGGAAACATGAACCCACAGCTAAAAATAAATGTGTCCATTTTAGCTGTGTGCTGAGACCTGACAGGAAACAAACCTTACAAAATAAAAGCTGTCGGATCAGATGTTTCTGCAGATGCTTCTCTAAAAGCTCGAGTTTCTTTGTAGCTTGGATCAGATTTTTGTTTCTGGCAGCTGAAACCGTTTTAGCTGCTTTTGTTTCCTGAAACATCCTGACGATCTGATTCTTTTTTACTGTTTTTCTTCAGCATCTCTGTTGAATTAAAGCTGAATTAAATTAACCATCATCAGCTGCTTCTCCACAGAAACGGTTTATTCAATGAATCAAGTTCAAAACTTTTTGTATTTCGGAAACAAGAAGCTTTTTTTATCTGATTTGTAGAAATGTTCGACAAAAAACAGGAAACATTCTGAAAGTTTCATTAAATCATTTAGTGTTTGGAGTTCAACAGGAAGTTTAAGTGGATTATTTAAAAAATAAAGCAGATTTTTAGACAAATTTAAGACATTAAATGTTATTTTTAATTTTATTTTCTTTGCTGGAAGTCATGAAGCTAACGGCTAACAGGAAGTTGTTAAATCATTGGTCACTCGACGGCAGCAAAACCAACCATCTGTCTGTGACCTTTGACATAGAAAGTTTGTAAATTAGCTTCAGTTTATAGAAAGTTTATAGTAAATAAACTTCAAACTAAACTTTGTGAAAATTTAGTCTTTTTTTATCTCGACAACTGGAACCAAGAGAAACTAGAACAAAACATAAAACTGACTTCAGTCCGAGGTTTGATTAATACTGGAGCGTGTTCAGAGCCAGATAAATGATGCTAACACGTTAGTTAGCTTGTTAATTAGCTCGTTGGTTAGTGTTAAATTTTTAGTGAAGAGTTTTTCTAGAAACATAAATCAACAAACTGTAAACCAGACAAAAAAGTACAATAAAACTAAAACTATAAATAGAAAAAACATTTAGTGCTAAAAATGTAAACAAACAGTTTTTGATCGATTAGTTAGCTAACGTTAACCCTTTGTGATTCGTGTTTCCAGCCCAACGTTAGAAGGTTCCTGTCGGAGCAGAGCGCCCCCTGCTGTTTCACGTTAGTTTCACGTTTTCCACCCAGTAAATTTCCTGTAAACAGGAAGTTCCAACATGTAAAACTAAAATTCTTTAAACCCTGCTGTGACATCACCATCACGTCAACATGACATCACTGTGATGTCACCGTCACATCATGACATCATCATGTAAACTGTGAGATGATTGGTCGGTGCTGGAGACAGACTGGTTCTTTACTGATATTAATACTGTTATTATTAATTACTTTAGTTTTTAATGTGAAGTTTGGAAATAAAAAGTTTTAACATTTATAAAAATCAAATGAAACTTTGTTGTTTGATTTTCAGAACATTTGATCCACTGTGAAGTAAAATCAGTAAAGTGTCGTGTTTCCAGTGTTGACCGTTAGTCTTACAGCAGCTGTTTGCTTCAACATCAGTGTTTGATGATTGAAGTTTCCCCTCCGACTCCACATAAACACCAAAATAATATAAAAACTTTCATCTTTACAGTTAAAATAGCAGTTTTAGTAAATATTTCTGCAGAGGTAATGATTCATTTTTAAGTTATTTATTACTAGCATGAAGTTAAAAGTTCTTATGATTTAAAATGTTTGATTTTTCCAGCTTGTTTTTTTAAAGACTAAAGATGTTTTTATCCCTCCTGAAGCTCTGATTTCTTCACATTTAATCAGTGATTTTTATTAAAAACCTGAAATGTTCAGAAAACTTTCAGCTCGTTAACATGAGCTGCAGATTTCTGCTCATTTATTCTGATTTAAATCCAAAGAATCTGCGAGTACAAGTCATTATAAAACATCTGATTACATTTGGAATCTTTGCTGATGATGATGTCATCTTCAACAGAAGCTCTGATTGGCTGAAAACGATCAAGATGTTTAAACATGATGTTATGTTGGAGGTCTGAGGGGAAAAACACACATTAATAAACAGAAAACAGTAAAAAGCTAAAATCATCTGAAGCTAAAACACTTTAGCACTTTGAACAGGAAAATAAAATCCCTTTCACGGTGAGTCCAGAAGCTCTCCAGTTTTAACACTGCATCGCAGTAACCTTTCAGAATAAAAGCCCCGCCCCTTGCTGCTTGTTGCCGTTAGCCAATCAGACACCAGCTGATGTGCTGAGAAATATTTCCCACAATCCCTCACAGCTTGCTGCCACCAGCGTTTGCATATACAGCTGAGAGATGTTTATTTTGAAAATCTGAACAGGAAGTGAGGTAGCCTGAAGCTTTGGGCTCTTTGCTGGTGTTCTTCAGCTCAAYGTCAACAATCAGCCTAAAACCCTTTGTTTCCGTCACACACTGCATCAAATATAGTTCCTCAAATAGATTCTATAAATTTATCTGTTATGTTTTAACAAAATAAAAGCCTCCAGAAAATAAACTTCTGATTCTTTTTTACAATCTGAAACAAAAACTGATTTCCATCATGATTGGTCTGAAAGTGCGAGAGACAGCGATGTGCAAATGGACCTGGTTTCTCTACGAGTCCCCACGTTGGACAAGTGTTTAACGGTTGCTAGGAGACAGAGTTGTAGACACGCCCCCCTGCCGACTGCTGATTGGACGGGTTGTAAACCAGAGCCGAGCGCCGGGCGGGTCCTGGAGGGCTCCAGGGTTTGGCTTGTGGACCGTTTGGGTTCTGGACTTAAGACAAAGATGTAAGGCAACGCTCGGCGGCACCGTGAGACCTCCGATTCTGATCGGACCCCCGGCTGACCCGCTCCCTGAAACATCTGGACCCAAACTACTGAAGGAAACCTGAGCCAGTCTTCAGATCGAACCGTTTGTGACTGAAACTCTTTAAAATCCTTTGTTTTTCTTTCAAAGCCAAATAAAACAGAGACAGACTGGATCAGAACCAAACCAGCTGCTGTCAGGGGTCGGGTTGGGTCAGGTGGGGTCGCGGGGGGCTAAGGTTCGGTCCGTGGACCGCAGCGTCGTCGAGGCAGAAAATGGAGCTGTTGGTTTTGGCGGCCCGGATCGGTTCTGGGATCGGCCCGGCAGGGCGAGCATCAACTCTTTGGCACTTGAGTCGACCCGAGGGGTCCGCCAGGAGGCAGCCTGAGTCCTGACCCCGCCCACACACCTGAGATGGGGTCAGGGGTCAGACAGAACCACAGGGCTGCTCAGGAACCAGCTCTCACGGGTTTCATCAAAAACAACCAAAGTGTTCGGTACCGTGTTCCGACCCACGTCAGCTGGACTTCCTATCAGCGTGGTGAGTTCAGGGACCGTCTGGAGTTTTGTTTAAAGTCTGAATGAGATGAATGAAGGTTTAAATAATAAACATTTTGGTTTCTCTGGACAAGAAGAGCCTGGTGCTGCTGGACCTGCAGGAGTGGGACCAGGAGGTTCTGACAGAGTCCAGGTCCAGTTGGTTCAGCAGCAGCAGGATCAGTCAGTCGGTCTGCCTAGAACCCTGTCGCTGACTGGGTTCTCAGGTGGGAGGGGCCAAGTCCAGCTTACATGACGCTCTCGAAGATGATGACCTTGTTGTCTTCGATGCTGGGCGACAGAGAGCTCAGAGACTTGACGTCAGGGGCCATGTACTCCAGGTGATGGGCCCCCCACACTGGACTGGTCAGGTGGGCCCAACGCTGAAACACAGGAAGTCAGGTGATCAAAGCATTGTTTGGGTGGTGTTTAACTTCAGAACATGTGGGTGGTGTTTAACTTCAGAACGTGAGGGTGGTGTTTAACTTCAGAACGTGAGGGTGGTGTTTAACTTCAGAACGTGAGGGTGGTGTTTAATTTCAGAACGTGAGGGTGGTGTTTAACTTCAGAACATGAGGGTGGTGTTTAATTTCAGAACATGAGGGTGGTGTTTAATTTCAGAACATGAGGGTGGTGTTTAACTTCA